CACACTATTTTTCTGAACTCATTACTACACATAAACACAATCCCAGGTTTCTGTTTAAGACTGGATCAGCTGGTAAACCCAACCCCTCCTCCGCGGCCTCTTACTCAGAGGTTCCTCACCAGCAGCAAGAGAGTTTTAACCAGTTTTATCCCATCGACTTGTCTGAGCTTTTAAAAACAGTATCACAAATGAGAGTGTCCTCCAGCCCACTTGATGTAATACCTACAAAGTTTTTACTGAAAGTAATGGATTCTGTTGGGCCCCATTTGATCTCTGTTTTCAACAGCTCTCTATCTACTGGTTGTGTCCCTGATTATTTTAAAACGGCTTGCGTGAACCCACTTTTAAAGAAACCTGGTTTAGATCCCTCCCTCCCACAAAATTTTAAACCAGTTTCAAAACTGCCTTTTATTGCAAAGATTCTAGAAAGAATTGTGTCCAAACAGCTGCTCACTGTACTGGAAAATAACAAATTATTTGAAAAGTTTCAGTCTGGTTTGAGGAAGTACCACAGCACTGAGACTGCCCTGCTTAATGTCACCAATGACCTTTTAATGTCTGCTGATGAAGGCATGTGCTCAGTCCTGGTACTCCTGGACCTTAGCGCTGCTTTTGACACCATTGATCACATCATCATGTTAGACAGACTGAGGCACTGGGTGGGGATCTCTGGTACGGCCCTAGAATGGTTTTCATCCTACCTGTCAAATAGGAAGTTTTGTGTGTCTGTAAACAACTATGTCTCTTCATTCTGTCCAGTTAAATATGGTGTGCCTCAGGGGTCGGTCTTAGGACCCATTTTGTATTCCTTGTATCTGCTTCCCCTTGGACATATTATCCATAAACATGGCATTTCTTTTCATATTTATGCTGATGACACACAAATATACTTGCCCGTCAGATCCACAGACCCTGGAATGCTGAGTTCACTTAACAACTGCCTTTGTGAAGTTAAAAAATGGATGTCAAATAATTTCCTCCAGCTGAACTCAGACAAAACAGAAATCCTGGTCATTGGGTCCCAGCAGATGGCAAATCAAATACTGCCATCTGCTGGTTCCCTAGTAAATCACATTAAACATGTGGCAAAGTATCTTGGTGTTTGGTTTGACAGTAATTTAAATTTCGAGCAGCACACCACAAAGCTTGTTCAATCATGTTTTTATCAACTTAGAAATATAGCTAAAATTCTATCTATGTTAACTTTTAAGGACACCGAGACCATTTTACACGCCTTCATCTCATCACGCCTGGATTATTGCAACAGCCTTTTCACTTGTTTAACCCAAAAATCTATTGATCGACACCAGACTGTCCAGAACTCAGCTGCCAGGCTTTTAACCAGAACAAAGAAATATGACCACATTACTCCTATTTTAGCTTCATTACACTGGCTCCCAGTGTGTTTTAGAATTGACTTTAAAATTCTATTGATCACTTTTAAAGCTCTTCATGGCCTCTCACCTTGTTATATTTCTGACCTTTTAGTCCCATACACACCAGCACGTACCTTGAGATCCTCGGGCAGAGGTCTGTTGTCTGTTCCAGAGTCTCGACTGAAAACTAAAGGGGACAGAGCGTTTGCTGTCAGGGCCCCGAGGCTCTGGAACAGCCTGCCCGAGGAAATCAGGTCGGCTGAGTCAGTGAACTCTTTTAAGTCCCTTCTTAAAACATACTTTTATAGGAGAGCTTTTCCCGATCTTATTTGACTTTATTTTATCCCTTTTATTTTATTGTATTTTACTAATTTTATATTAATCTGTATTTTAGTCTTTTTAATGTTTTCATGCTCTTATCTTCTTTTTTTGTATTATTCTTTACACTTGTTAAAGCACTTTGTAACTTGTTTTTGAAAAGTGCTCTACAAATAAGGATTATTATTATTATTATTATTATTACGTGTATTTTCCAAAAGTGCTGAACTACTTACTTTCTTTAAAACTACTCATAGTGAATTTGCTTCATAAAGATTTCTGCCAGCCTAAAAAGCTTAGTCTATACTATGCAAATGATAAAAATGAGAACAGGGTATGATGGCTTTTTCCTGCAAAGCATCCTTTCCTCTCAGCATCCGGCTGTACTTCCTGCCAGACATCCAGTTCCTCTAACTTTGCTGACAAGAAAGTTTATGTCAACTTTGGTAAAATATCCCTTCCTTGATTCACTGACCCTCTTCTTCTTCTTCTTTCTTCCTCAACTTCTTTCTGCGCTCTCCGTTCCCCAGGTCAACCATCCCTCTATAGCGTCCTCCTCTGCCTTTAGTCCTGCCCTCAGTGTCGAGAGCCAGGGATCAGGTACCCCTGTCATCATGTGCCGCAGTCCAACAGGTAAACCTGCAATTTTACAAACAGACACAGACAGTATTCAGATCCTACTGTCAACATTTTAACAGGACACCCTAGAGATGAAAGATGTTTGGTCTGTAATCAGCATTTCCTTCCTTTCTTTTCGATATTCAGATGGGAGAAGTAAGACGTCACCAAGGTCAAACTTGAAGTTTCGTTTTGACAAAATGAGCCACTCGTCCACAGCTGTAAGTCTTGTAAAGCTTGCCTGCTTCGCATATTTAAAAACAATATTGTGCATCAAAAAAATGTAAGGTTCTTACTTTTTAAAGCAGAAACATTTTAATTAAAAGAATTAGTGCAGCAGGTTGGAAGCAAAAAGCATCTCGCTGTGCTTTTGATTCTCTCACTGTCACTGACATCTCATTGTTGTTGAAACAGCGGAGCTGGTGTTGGGTAATAGGCCCAGACTGAAAGATGCATGCTGCCAGCCAACACTTTCTTCTAACTGGCCTCTCTGTTCTCTTTCCTGTCTTTCAGTCCGAGTAGCTTTGTGGAATGGAAATATCCGACTTGCACAATGAAGGGACAGCGTGGACTTACGGAGTTGCAAAAAACAAAAAGAAATCACAACAACAACAACAACAACAACCACAAAATCATTGTAGAACCGCTTCCCTAAAGCAAGGATAATCTGACAAAATTACCACCTGCACTAGTCCCCATACACTATAGACTAATACTGTGAGTGTATAATGAGGAGAAGCAGCTGACACGTTGGCTTTCTTTTTAACTGATCTACAGAAATAAGTCCATACTTTGCCAATGTTACAAGTTGCTGCATCTCAGCTGTTAATTGTTCACATCACATGGAAATCCTAGCATGGCTGTAATACTGTGTGTAGGCTGAGCTAGACTCTGCCTCAGCTTTTTCTTAAGCATCATGTTTAATAGAGAGACACGGTGATCCAGAAGAATGGTAACATGAGACTATGGCCGAACTGTTACTCTTTTATCTATATCTAGTCGCCTACTCAGTGGAAAGGATGTCTTTCAGGACATCGGGATGATCCCATTTGCCTTTGCCCTTGAATGGTACGTCTGAGAGTTCCTCTTTTGCCTAAAAAGAAAGTGTGCAGACACAGACAAACACACACACATGCGCAGAAATGTACACTTACAGTAGCAACGTTTTAGAGGTGACAACGCTGGCTGTCTCAATTTGCCACTGTAGGACCTGAGCTTGTTTTTTGCATATAAACATGTTTTTCTAGAGCATCTTTGATTTTCTAGATGTTTTTTGTAACCTAGCTAGCTGCTGCATTGTGTCTACTGCACTATAAACACAACATTGCTGAAATTCAGTCGATACCTATGACAGCATTTCTGTATCGGTTAGGGTAACTTCAAGTCTCTGAACTGAAGTGCTTGGTTAGTGGAAATTAGCTCACTGCCAACACATTTGCCATAAGCTTATTTTAGCCAAAGCTGCGCCTTACAATCTATCAAAAGCCCTTTTCACCACTGATGCTCTCTCTCTCACTCTTACGCTCTCTCTCACTCTGTCTGTCTGCCTGTCTGTCTCTCTCACTATGTGAGAGGACAAGAATCTTCTGGATCCGGTTACAGCACAGTTGTGGGTAGCCGATCAACACCCACATTTGCTGAAAATAGACGTTGCACGTACCTCCCATTGAAGCTTGCTAGCTCGGTGTATCTGCGTTTATGTTCGGTGCAACCTATGAAGAGGAAAGTCTCCAGGGTTTTTAGTTTCCCAGCATGTAAGCTGATGAAGATGACTTGAAAAAGATGCTTCAGGTTAAATTAACCTTTGAACCACCTTTGGCAAAAAAACACACTTTGAATGTGAATTTGAAACTTTGTTTTTTCTCTTAATCTCTTATTAGTAAAATTGCAAAGTCAGTTGCTTACAAGCACAACAGGACAATAGGTCTACTCTAGTTCTCAACTATAACAGATCTTCACTAACCGGTTTTAGCAGGCCAAAGTGTGCTAATCAAGAAAAAGCTTACCGACACACCGATGTGTACCTATGTGACCAAACAGCCAAGCTTGTAGGTCTTTGGAAGAATGTCAATGAACCATTCCTGTTGCAGAGAGGATGGCTTAGTATAGTGCAAAGATCTGTCACATGAAAACTCAAAACCCAGAGGGTTTAAAGGGTCTTGTTGTCCAAATAACAAAAACCTACTTTGTTATTTGGGTGACTTTTTAACTTTGCCAACTAGCTGCTGAGTTCCTTGAGGAGTACTTTTCTGATGTATCTGGGCTAGAAACAGACGTGTTGGCTAATACACAATGTGCTCACTTAGTGTAGACCAGTGATTACCTCGAGCGAGGGAAGCAGGGACAGAGATCACACAAAAAAGCGTGACGCTCAGATGTCATTCAGTTTGTAGCAGGTATTGCTGAAAACGCCCTGCAGCCTTTTCTCTGTTAATATGCTTAATTTATTCAAATGATCACTTCTTTTGCATTGATGTCATGTAAAAATGTAACTGCAGAGTACGCTAATTAATAAGGTTAAAACGATTAAAGGAAATATATTAATTTAAAAGATGTCTAGACATGTATATGTATATTTGGTTATGTAACGTGCCATTGAGAATTTATTCATAAATAAAATGTTGTATTTTGTGTCATTTATGTGCTATCACATTTTTTGCTTTAAATAACACACGACACTCACAAAGCTTACAGCACAATACAGGGGGAATTTCACACTTTAATTTGTTCTGGGCTCAGAGACAACAGACTGGCAATCAAAGAAGGAAGACACAAAAAAAAAGGCATGGCAATCAAAAGAAAACCTCCTTGACAGGTGAGGCTGAGAGGAGGGGTGGGGTGAGGGAAATACACTCCCTCTTACAATGTAAAACATTCAATGAAATAAGGAACAATTACTTAAAAACAATTCCATTCTGTGAAATCTGTCAGATTTGAAAGAACTAAATGAGCTCTTAAAATTAAAAATACTACTAAGAGAAGGAGATGGGGCATCTCTTGCTGCCACAAATACACACACACACACACACACTTCCATTCATTAAAAATGTGTTTATATATGTTTATATAATCCTCACTTATTTGTAATTTTTTAAAACTGCAATTCAACATTTTGTTTTAAATTGTTTTTTACTTATCTGTATGTATATAGCAAAATTAGATTAGATGTAATATTTTATTTTAACAATTCTTCTGTTGACACATTGTTTTTATTTCACACTTCCTTTGGCAACATCTGCTTTGAGTTGAATATTTTATATACATGAACGCACCAGAAAAAAAATGATAGGTAATTCAGGCTAAGCTTGTTTCACATTTTAAAAACTGCAATACCAAACTGTCTTCAATGTTTTGCTTGCTTGTCTGCAGTCACATTTCAAAACAATAAAAGCACCATAAGTGAAATGATAACACCAGGCTGAGTCTCCTCTCACTGCAGCACCTCGGGGTGGTTCAGCTGATGGATGCATGCTCCAATATCTCCTCATTATCTGCTCCACTTGCTGTCTGTTATGCTACGTGCATATGAAAGTTGTTTGGCACTTCTCTCTTCCTCATAATTAAAATAGTCACGAATTCCACATCAGGGTGTAATCAGGAGACTCCATAGACATGGACAAACAAGAATGACTGGATCCTTTTGTGTCTTGTTTTGTCCTCGGCTTTAATGATTTTCCACAGTGCTCAGGCCTTGAGCTCAAGAATGATCCAGCGATAGTGAAATAAGCTGAATCCCAGAAAAAGTGACTAGATGATCCTCAGCAGACAGCTTGCCACCTCCACTCTGCATCGAATACAGTCAGGAAAATTTGAGGGATGAGTACACAATGGACTGCTCAGGCTCTCTGGTGGCTCGCTGTTGTCTTAGTGCATCCTGGGAAATGTCTGCATACACAACCTGTAACATTGTGAATAAAAGATAAGTTATTAACACTCACACAAGGTCACATGCATGGAAGGCTAGTCAGGGGAAAACAAACAATGTGGAAGGGCACCGCAAAGGGCATCCTGTCGTCCACCCACCTCGGTCTTCTGCTGTTTGGACTTGGGGCGAGCTGTAAAATGCAAAGAAAATGACAATACAGTGAGAGGAGCAGTTTTGATAATGCTACAGTAACTTTCCTTTAGTTTTTTAGTCAGGCTACAAGGTAAGAATACGAGATACCTTTGTGGGAGGAAGTGCTCCGCTTCTGGGGTACCGGCCGTCGAGGTGGAGGCTGTGGAGCCGGGTCTGGTTGGTCTCTGTACACAGCCGAATGCGTGAACTGTGTCCTGGGAAGTGGCTGAGGCTTGACCTCTGAACTCAGACAACGAGCCAATCCCAGAATGATGGGAAGACAAAGAAAAGCACCGGCACAGACCAAAACTCTGGTCAGTACACTTCTCTGAAAGGGGACAGCTGGAAGACGACACAAAATAACAGACACATAACAATGCAATTATTATTGAACATATTTATTTTGTAGTATGATTTTACAGACACATACATCCTTGCCAAATATGTGGCCATTAAATGTGATTCTATATACCTGCAGTGACGTTCACATACGTCAAATGTCCCTGATCAGTTTCACCTTCAGGCCATGTAACTTTGCATCCATAATAACCTTCGTCTAATTTGTGGACACTCAGGAAATTCAAAATGAATTGAGTGTCATTGGCTGAGAGCTTCACACTATTCAAATGGTGCCTCACACTTTCTTCAACTATCTCTTCAGCAGTTGCATTTCTCCACAACCAGCGTCCCGTCCAGTTTCCTCCACAGTGCCGGACCACACAGGACAGAGACAGACTGCCCCCTGCTGGTGCATCAACTGTGTCACGTTTTGCCCTAACACCCTGGCTGCATTCCTCAGTGAGGAGACCTGAAAAAGGGAAGTCTCCTTTAGTTCTTTAGCGTTAGTGATGGAACAAGAAACTGCATTTACAGAAATAGGATATGTTGTTATTTTGTGCGTTGTTGACTGTTACTGTTAAAATAACTGCATAATAATCTGTCAAACATTCAGACTCGAAATGGGCTTTGAAAAAATGGAATGGCTTCATGAAAACACTGCATATTAAAAGTCATATAACAAATAATTTAGTTCATCTGACAACCTTTGGGTTGAGAGTCTGTTTAATCACCAGATAACTAATTAATAATTTTTTGACATATAAAAAGAGATTTTTGTGTCAAAATAGAATGAATAAGACAAATTGTAACAGTTTGACAAACATTGAATGCACCAAACACACTTGAACATAATTGTGATTACCACAGCTGGTATTTGAAAATAATATAAGCCTATTTGTGTGAGACTCACTGTACAAAACAATTGACTGTAATATTTACGATAAGTTACAACAGCAAATTATTTTAACTTCACAACAGCTACTGCAAGAAAGGTGCATTCAAAGGCATACTGTGTAGTCAGCCAAGTTCCTCAAATGCGACACAATGTGTTCCCTTGTTTATAATGAGATTTTGAATACGATTCCAGATTTACATGAACTAAAATGAGTTAGGCTACTTACCCATATGAAAAAGGCAGAGGCAGCTGATGGCGCTGAGCAAATAGTTCTGCATGTCTGACTGTAACTGTGTGTAAGTCATAGTTCGCCAGACCTTACGTCCTCTGTACAGACTGGAGTTTACATGCCAGGGCTTGACGGCACAGCTGTATGAAATGCATGGCTTCTCTTCACCAGCTCGATCTTTCGTTTTCTTTCTTTTCCTTTCTTTTCCTATTCTCAACCATTTGGCAGGCTTTATGTTGTCCTGCTGCTGCTTTGCTGCTTGTGCCCAGATGGAAGTACAGGAAGGAAGCAACACACGCACGCACACAATCCACACTGCTCACACTAAATTACAGGAAAGCAATGACATCATAATAAACTTTCCAACAGGGAAGAGGTGTGTTTCAAGTAACAGCATTAAAGAAAGAGAAACACTGAGTAACAGGCTACAGAAACAAATTTTGCGGTTTTCTGCTACTGTGCTCTTACAGAAATATGTGAAACTGATTTCCAAGAAATACCTGAGATGATCCTTCTTAACCTCTTAACCCCAATTTACTTGGTGGTGACACTAATCCGTAAATTAGAAGAAGAAAAATCTTTATTGAAATTCATCTCACTCAAGTGGGCAGCCACTTTTACTCTGTGATGGTAACTTAATTTAGGCTTTAGCTTCTGTCTTTATTTGTTTCAGGTCAGTTTGACACAGCCTGAATACAACCTTCAAATGCATCGCTTTTTTCATTTTTCCAAAAATTAGATAAGGCCTGGTATATTACTCCAAGGAGTGCATGTTACAGGCAGTGCCTTCATAAATTCAACAGGTCCAACAGTTTGTAAGGAAGGGTCAATTAAAGTCTCAAAAGTCACAAATATTAAAACAAAAAAGCCTTAACTATTTCACCTTATACATAATGAGAAATAATGTACTTTTCTGAGATGCACCTTTAACCTATTACCATGTCTACTTTGAAAGCATTGTTAGGCCTACTTTACAGCATTTTTCCCACTTCAAGTGTTTCATGAAGTTTTAACATTAGCTGCTTCATGTCTCATTTAGTATGAACTTTTGCTTAGTGTGTAGTTCCTGTGCGTTCATTTGAAGCAACATGGCTCTAAAGGTTTGGATAAGTGAGGAAGTGTATTGTGTTGCTGTTACAACACAGGTCTGTTCTGACTTCATGCACCTTGTACTTTCCCAGCCACGAACAACAAACTGATTTTCAGCTGAAAGATAACCCTTCAAAATAAAAGCTGCTTGTCACCTTTCAAGAGCGAAACATGGGCTTTTAAAGGATGGGTTCTCAATAGTTCAACTCCTTTGCGTGCTGTAATCAACCAAATAGTTGGTTTTATTTTGTAAATAGTAACCGGATACTTCATACGCAAATATTCAGTCGAGTTTGACTTCGGGCGCGCTCGTTTAGTGTTGCTCCGTGTCCTCTCAACCACATGTTATGTGGGAAGAGCAGCAAGCGAGAACCGTGGCGTCCTCTGGACAGTAATGCAAAACATAACAGCTGGAAAGTCACTTCCACGTTCACGCGGAATCCTTTTTATGCATCATTCGCTGATACTGCATGTGATATTGTTAGTTCAATTAAGGTTCACTTACAGCATGATGATAGTCTTTGGTGAGAGACCTATAGTCCAAACTGGAGGGCTCTTTTTCAGGACAGTTGTTTCTCAACTATTTCAAAAATGCTGAGTCTACCATGGTGAATGTTGTGCTCTCTGGGCTAAAAAAAAAAGTTAACAAAACATTTTCCCAGTAAACTTTATTGCTGTACATTAGGCCTTTAACATTCCATGTACAAGGCAGCCTACAAGTTACAAGGGAGATATTTACCATTTTACAACACATGGTTGTATAACAAGATTTAGTTGCAGTTCCCTTTTGCTACAAAAACGATATACACTAGGATGGATAGATAAATAACAAGTGTCATGTATATAAAATACCAAATGGTGTTGGAAAACACACACATACACACACACACACACACACACACACAAATAAAAAATGAATGAATAGATAAATGGGGCCTAAGTCTTTTTGTTCTATTTTTATTTTTGAAAAACTACTCTGGTCTGTAGATTCATTTACAATAACAGCATTTACAAAATATCAGGGTTGATTCTGTTGAACCTTGAATCGTGGTTAATTAACTGAGAGGATCTGTGCGCTCTTTTATAGAAAAATGACACTTGCTTGGCATTATAACATTTATTTCTCTTCCCTGCTTCTTTTCAGTCGTGGGATGTGTATTAGGTCTGCTTTGTTATATTTTGTGTCAGATGTTGTGTTGGAGGTGTAAGCCACACAATGAATGAAACCACGGATACATACATGTTACAGTGTAATGAAAATACTTATTATATGAAAAACGTGGTGGTTCTGCCACTTGTCTCTCAGGGGGTCACATCACGTGCAGGCAGTCAGCCAGGAGAGGAGTACTCGTAGATCGCAAACTCCGCCCAGCCGCCACGTGAAAGATCGACCGCGAGTGCACAAACGAGCGCACCCTGAGATCACACTGACTGCCTGTCGGTGAATGACATAAACAAAGAGCCGGTGACTTTTCAGGGAATCAGACAACACTCCTCAAGCTCCACGCAAACATGGAAACTGGTAGGTTGAGTGGCACTTTCCCCTGTCCCCGCCGTGATGGTATGTGTCTCCGGCAGCCCGAGCTCAGTCTGTGTGTGACAGTTAGAGGATGACAGCTGAGGGAGCTAACAAGCTAAATTAAGTTAGCATTCACTGCGTTAGCATGGTAGCCTGCTACTAGCATGGCTCTGCCGTCCCTTACACACCTAAGTTGACAGGTAGATTGTCAGCAAAGTACTAATATCTAAACTGTACAGACAGACACAGACAGATAACACGCCTTAACTTGTTAATTCAAAGGTGGCGTCAGCTCCAGGAGCCCGGAAATGTTAGCTTGTGCTAGCTAGCTAAAGAAGAATGGAGTTGGGAATGCCAGAAGCTGTCAAACTCTTCAAAGTGGTAACGATTCACTGAAGTTGGGTTTTCGTTAGGAATAACTGCTTTGACCCGAAAAGAGAAGAATTTTTCATATGCTGCACTACTCTTTGTAGTGTTTGTTTAACTATGTTTACCTTCAGACAGGCAAGTCAGCGAGTAGGGTCGTTTCGATTCCACTCTATTTAACCTCAGGGTTCATAACACTTTTTTTTGCCGGTGTAACACCAAAAAGTGTGACCTATCAGATTCTGTGACTACACCCAAACGACGATGTTTTCCTAACCATAACCAAGTACTTTTGGTTACTAAACCCAACGAAACTGCAGCCGCTTCACATCGTCAACAAAGCCTCTGGTGCTTAACTTCCCATTTGGGTCACAGAATCTGATAGGTCTCACATTTTGGTGTCACACCGGCAGGCAAAGGTTTGGTCAGATGATTATTTCTAAGATCTTTGTTAACTAATTGTTCTTGTATATAGAGCAAACATTTTACCTACATGAATTAAAATAAGGACCATGAAACTGTCATAATAATCTGTTCTTTGCGGTTTTGTCAGCTGCTGTGGGTTTCTACTGAGCCTGTTGGCTTCATGCCAGCTGTAGTTCAGCCCTTTGCACATGGAGCAGTGATCGGCATAGTAAAATGCTTAGCTAATATAAAGCCAGTTACATAACCACTGATGTGTAAATTTGCAAGTCACCCTGGCTACCTGTGCATGGCCCCTCCCCATGGAGAACCACTGTGACTATTTGGTTAGACTCACTCTTTAACATGTGCTCTTCAACATACACCTAATATTCTGTTACACATCGGAGGTGAATCTCTTACTCCCCCCCCCCCCCCCCCCCCCCCTTTCATTTATCTATCCATACTCATCAGTGTCAAAAAACTGTTGCCAAAAGCAAAAAGCTTTATGTTGACACAGGACCCCATGCAGGCCGATGCCTGAAATATTCTCAGCTGTAGGCCTGGCCTTTTCTAATAGTATAGGCTTGACATTTAATGAAGTTTGACACTGTGCTAATATGCGGCGGTCAGTGCATCTCAGCGTATCGATGGAAAATAACAGAATGCAGCTAAGAGAGACAGGGGTTGAACTCTAGGCAGCATGCATGACTAGGCAATGTCCCTCTCAACGTTTAATTGCTCTGCACCATTATTTGACGGAATTACAAACCACACATCAGTGCCAGTTTGATTCTGTCAAAGTGTGGGTGCACCCCTCCTTCCCCTGTCTGGCGGGAATAGACAAGCTTTCTAGTGTGTTCCTCTCACAGATGGAGCCAGATGAGTGATATCAGCCAGCTCTGGTCAGCTCTCAGCTCCCTGGGGCCACTTACAGCACTACTAGAAAGCAGTCTTGATTTCTCTCCCTTGTTTGTCGCTCCCTTTTCCAAGTCTGTCCTTGATTCTTTATCAGAGCTCTAAATGTAATTGTACTCAATATCTTTAATAATCTGTTCCACTGTAATCTCTGTATACATGGTGGAGAAAAGGAATGCACCATATTGTTGTAGTATTATGACTATTGATCTGGCATTTTCCAGGCATTATTCTTGCATCTGAGTACATGCGTGCTCATAAATCAGATCTTAAGTGGGAAGTGTGGATGCCTAAAGTGCACAGATGAGTCATGGGAATTGGGACAGTAGGAACTTCCTCCTCTTAGTTATAGTCAGCTGTCTGACTGTCTGGCTGTGAACATCTTCCTATTACAAATTAAATTCCCACCTTCATTATTTTACCATTCATTCTTGCTGTCTTTTATTCTTCCCTTCTTGCTCCTCCAGGTCTGAGTCAGGGGAAAGTAGCCACCTTCCTTAAGCGGCTGCGGGCCGAGCCACGCTACCTGTTGGCCCAGAATGTGTCCACTTGCATTGACCCGTTGGAGGTTTGTCTGCACCGGCAGACTGTCCAGGATACCGTGCACATCTTCCAGCACTCTATTCCCACAGAGGGCAAGCCCATCACCAACCAGAAAAACTCAGGTAGGACATAATGGAGCACAGCAACATCATAAAAGTGGACATTTTTTGTGGGTCATCACACACCGATGCCTAAACTATTACATTTGAATGTAATGTGAATGTAGTCCAGACAACAGCATTACAGAGCACAGACGAACGTTAAGTGAAGGTATTTCTTAACTGTGTTCTGCATTTTAATGTCACACAAGCTGCAAAACTTATCTCAACTTATATATTTCTTGGCTGCAGTTATCTGTCACAGATGATATGTGCATGCTCTCACTTTTGATATAATGTACAGTTTTGTGTGGCGGAGCTTGCACTGTATTTGCACGAGGTCCCCTTAAATTTGATTATTCAGTTCATTTGCCAGC